GTCACCCCGGCCGCTGGGTGTCTGACCGAAAGGGAGCTCGAGCGGATGCCTCTGCTGCCACGGCAGCGGTGCGTTCGCGGTCGGCAGGACCGCATAGCTCCTCCACAGTCATTATGTGTCGTCGGGCGCCAAAACGCCGGTCTGGACGCTCTATATCCTGCCAGCGCCGGGGGCCCCTTATGTGTCGAGCCCAGAGGCACAGAGGGTGTTGTCTCGGGCGCCAGAGGGAGCGGCGGCGGGGGGACTGAATGCAATCGACTGGCCACTGTGAAATGTTGCTTCCAGCGTTATTGACGCCTCCCGGACAGGGGAGTGACACCTTCTTGAGGAACCAGGTCGCCAGCTGGTTCGCGCTTTTCTATCTTTCCCGCGGCCCTGCAACATGCGCCTGTCCCAGTCGGCGTGCCTCCCCGCCTCGCGCATACTATCAGCCTTGAAAAAAGCAAGCGATCCTCGTCCGACCGGGCGGGCCTAGCAAAGAAGACCCCCGCGCCATGAAGATTTGTGACTGAAAAAAAGGCAGGCCCCTAGGTATCGGCCCTCTCTTTCTCTTGCTGCTCGGCGGCCCCGCTCGTTTGGGATTATTGCTCTGCCAACTCCCATCCATTGGCCCCGACTGGCACAATTGTGCCACCCGCCTGAGCGCGTCCAGTATCGGCCCAAGAGTGGCCGGCCTCGGCCGAGGGGGGTCTCGCGTGCTCTCACTCCGCGGGGGAGAGGACGGGGAGAGGGCGGGGAGGGGGGGGGGAACAGGGGGCAGGACCTGTGCGCCTTTCACGCCGGCATTTTACCGGACCCTCCCAGGACCTTGCCCCCTGTGGCCCTCGGGGGCAGGAGCGTGGGGCAACGCGGAGCCAGGGAGCGGAGTCGGCCAGGGGCCCGGGCTTTGGCCGAATGGTCGCCGACGCCGCCACGGGGTCAGAGGGCCTGGTGGCGCGGTCCAGCAGGACCGGGTCCGAGCATGAAGGGGTCTAGCAGTTCATGCACGCGCACCCCCTCTCAAGGGTCCCTTGCCCCACGGGCCCACCTTGTGTCCGTCTGTCTGTCGGTGTGTATGTGTGTAGATTGTCTGCCTGCCTGAAGGCGCCTGGGCGCGCGTGCCAGCGTGCTTGAGCGTGCTTGGGCGTGCTGGCGCGTGTGCCTGCAAACACGCCCACGCACCACAGGGCGCCTGGGGCTGGGGCACCCTTCAACCCTTGCTCATCCCCAGCCCCCTTCACCCCGCACATTTCCCCACGGCCCGTCTGTGTGGTTGTCCATGCAGCTCGACTCCACCGCGCAGGCCGACGCCCTCACTCGAGCGAGCACCTCTCGATTGTGGGGGAAAGCCACCTCGGACCGGGCGCCATGTGTCTATTTGTGTCCCTCCTCACGCCCACATCCGGCCCGGCTCGGGGAATGGGGCCCCTCCGGCCAACCACCCACACGGCGGCCCCTTGGGGTACCGGAAGTATGGAACTTCCAAGGTCCTGGCTCGTGGCCATTGCTACCTTCGTGAAGGGCACGCGTGAGCAAACAGGCCCAACTTCGCTGAATTGCATAACGCTGCATGTGCCCCGGGCACCTTGCCCAACAGCGCTTGGGACAGGGCCCGGAGCGAGGAGACTGTTGTGTGGCCCTGAGAAAGGGTCGTAGCTCGCGGGGTAACTTTCGTCTCGTCTTCCAGCAGCCCCACGTACTCGGGCTCGCGACACACTCTTCGTGTGCCAGGGGGCGTGGGTTTCCGGGCGGCTTGGGCACAACTCGTTCATTGGCGGGTGGGCGGAAAGGCGCGCACACACCGGCGGCTCAATGTGACCGCTCGCTCGCGGGGCAGCCCAACCCTGAACCAGGGCCATGTCCGCCCTGGCGTGGACGGGCCCCTCTTTTCCGAGCCTCCGGCTGGCGCCCAGGCAGAGCCAAGTCGCGAATGTACCCCCCCACTCATCAAAGTCAGGCATGGCACACCGAAAAGCCATTGGCCCACTCGCGCCGGAGGAAACGGGGGGCAGCGGAGGATATGATCGTGGACCCCCTCAAGTACCTGGGTGGCCCCCAGTCGGGCCGTGTGTGTGTGTGTGTGGGGGGGGGGCGCCTCGTGCATGGAGGATCGCCAGCTCTCTGTCCTCGGCCTGAGGGAAGAGAAGTGGGGGGGAGGGGGGGGCGTCTGGCCAACTGCGACACGGCAGGGGCATCGATAAGCCGGCCGTATCATCATCATCGGCCCCCCCTCTTCTGCGAACGAGTGGGAATTAATCCAGACAACAGACTGCCCCATTGGGGCCACCATGGCCACCTTGCCTGGGCCTCCTTCTTCCTGCCCCGGACCCCCCTCACAATGGAAGGCGTCGAGGCTCTTGCTGTTTTCCGTTACGCAAGGCCAGAATGACCGGACTAGGCGTCTCGCCCCTCGCCCTCCCCCTGGCACCCGGTGCTGCTGGTCTTTGCCCCGAGCAGCCGGCCAAATAGTCACCGTGAGCATTGGTCCCTTTCTGTGCCGCCCCCCCCCCCCCCTTGTCTTGCGGCTTGTACTTGGGAAAGGGCCCCCTTCAATGGGCCCGGAGGACGGGGGGCAGGTTTAGAGGATGTTCAGCCCTGGACTCTGCCGCGCGCGAACGACCACCATGCCGCACGGCCTCGGGCCGGGTTCCGCTGTCGAGGCCGCCGTGCTCCGGGGCATGAAGCCGGGCAGGAGTGGGGGAAGGACCGCGAGAGGGCGAGGCAGGTCGACACAGCCGAGGCGGACCCGAGCCAAGATGTCCGACTAACCCCGGGGCCCGGCCCAATGGGTCGGAATGTGGAGCTCCGGCTCGGGTGCCCCCACCCTGGACCCTGGGCCGGGTCCTCCCAGGGGAGAAAGGGGCCAGAGGCAGGCAGCAGGGCCGACGGGGCTGCCCACGGCCGGAGAGTAGCCCACAAGGGCCCCCGAACGACGCGCGCCGCGATGGTCCGAAACGAAACACCCCGAATTGTGGGGCACATTAGGTCAGACTCATTTTGCACCTACAGCCGCGGCCTTGGGCAAGACCTGCTTGGGCCCCCCTCCCCCCCCCCCCCTCCTCCTCGTGCACCGACTGTACGGCGGTGCCCATCGATCAGCCGGTCGCGCGCGGCCGAGCCCCTTGCCGAGGCCCCTCGCTGATGCCAGTCCCCTGCCGGGGGAGGTCTCCCTCAATCGGGTGGAATCCCCCCGCTCGGGTCGGGCAGTAGGCAGCCTCGACACCGTGCGGCCCAAAGAGGCCCGCGTTTTGGCGCCCTCATTTGACATTATGATGCGTGCCAGGGCGGCCAGTGACCCTTCGTCAGCCGAAGGTGTTCAGACAGGAGCGGTGCGCCGGACAATAATGCCCTTTTTTATTTATTTGCATGCCCTACCAGGCGCCGGGGCCCCGCGCGTAACATTGGCCTCGGGGTTCTCGGGCTCACGCATAGGACGCCCCCTCGCTGACTTTGGGTGTGAGTGTCTGTGTCTGTGTCTGTCTGTGTGTGTGTGTGTGTGTGTGGAGGGGGGAGGGGAGGGGAGGGGATCCTGTGCGCTCGCGTGTAGGCCTGAGTGCGAACGTGCACCCCTCCCCAGCAACGGTGGCCGCCGGGCGACCCGCGTTAACACACCAGCCGCTGGGGTCTCCAGTCGCTGTGTCGACAAGGCCCCTCCCAACCAGCGCGCCCGGCGGGGGATTGGCGTTGCCACAAGTGTGTTGAGAGAGGTGATGCCGGTGTGCAGGTCACTCGCTCTCGCCCCTCCTGCCCCCCCCCCCCCCCCTCGCCCTCCTCCGGCATGTAGATTGTGCTCAAAATGGGTAATGGACTTCGCGCACTCTTCCTGACTGAGGCCCCTCCCGGGTCTCGACATCCAGGAGCATGCCGATGGCAGGGGCCACAACCGGCATCATGGGGCTGCCACCGGCCGCGGTCCTGGCCCATGGCCCTGCAGCAAGGCACGGGGCCCTGCAGGCAACCTAGCCCCGGAGGAAGATTCGGCGAGCCACTCCATCCCGCCGGAATCGCAAGGGAGTTCTGCCTGGCATGCCGAGGCTGGGCGGGGCACCTCGAGCCATCGCGCTCCCGAAAGAGTGGCCACTATAAATGATGGTACCAAGGCGCTCGCCCAGCCGGCTGGCGGGGCTTCAAGTCACCCTTCCCTCCAAAGCGCCCGCTTCGTCGGCCGTAGTCCCCCCCCCCCCGCCCTCCTTTCCCTTCCGCCGCTCCCTCTCTTTGTGTATCACCAATAGCCCAGCTGGCCTCGGCTTTTCTCGCGCCCCGCACTCCCTCAGACTGCCCGACACGTTCTCGCCTTCTTGGAGACGCACTCCTGCCATTGCCGCCGCGTCGCCCAAGGCCTTGGCGCCTCTCGTCTTGGACTTTTGCTCGTGCCTTGTGATCGAAGGCCTGAGCCATCCGCGAGAGACTTGGTAAGTGCTCACTTTCGATTTGCTTCGGCCATCTGGCCTTCCGCCCCCTCGCCCAACCCTTGTCCGCCCCACCAGCTGCAGCCTCTTTTGCCCCCTGCATCCGTGTGTGCCTCTCCTGCCGCC